TCTTGTGGGAGAAATGGAAGCAGGAGGCATAGCTTTCAGTCTCTCAAGCAAGGACCATGCCCAGAGAGGCATAGCATGGCTTCTGTGAGCAATGGCTGACAATTGCTGTTCATAGCTCAGCCTAATGGTGTATCCACACAGCAGCCAGAATGGGGAGGAGGTTGGGGGTGGAGTAAGGGGGAGAAGAGACAAGAAATCCAATGCTTGGCTCTACTGTGCCTGCTAGATGGATTTGGGGAATATTGCGGAGCTAGAAGAGGTTAGAGGCCTTGCTTGAAATGAACTTGGTCCTCAACTTCCTCCTTGGAGATTCAATAAACTAGTATCAATACAACAAATAACAAGTATTATTATTATAAAAATCAGCTAACATTTATAAGTACTTACCATGTGTCAAACACTTTTCCAAGCATTTTACAGGTATCCTCTCATTTTATCTTTTAACAACCCTTTCATATCATCTCCATTTTATAAATGAAGAAACTGAGGCCCAGAGAAGTTAAATTACGTGTTCAAGCTTGCCTCGTTAGTAAGTTGGCAAACCCAGGATTTGAACCATGGCCATCTGACTCCAGAGCCTGGAGCTACCAACCATGACACTATCCTGCCTCTGAAGAGTCTACCCTGGCACCACGAATGTCCCCATATGCAACCAACACAGTTTAAAGAGAGACTTGTGGGCAGACTCTATAACAATAGCTAACATTTCTTGGCACTTGCCATGTATGAAATAACATGTTGAGGGTTTTACATTCCAATTTAATCTGCACATGAGCAGCCCAAGGTCACTACACTTGCAAGATCAAAGCCAGAGCTGTCAGCCTCCACAGACTCTACTTTTAACCAATGTTCTCAACTGGGGGTGACGTGGCTCCAGGGGACATTGGGGGTTGAGGGATGGGCGGGTACTGCTAGAATCTAGTGGCGAGAGGTCAGGGATGTGGCTAAACATCCTGCAATGCACAGGATGGCCCTACAACTGTAGAACCATCTTAGCCCAAAATGTCAGTCCTGCAGAGGTTGAGAAACTTGACTTTTTACCAAGCACACATGACTGAGGAGCGCTCCCCAGAAGTCCTCCTTGAGCTAGAGATGAAGAGGGGTGGGTCCTATTTCCAGCTTGCTTTTGACTCAGAAGGCTCTAAATTTACTTCCACAGTCCTGGAAGAAGTAAAATGTGTTAGAGAAACACCTTGAGAATTGATGTTTAAAGAAAGGAAGTTGGTTTTTATTGAGGGCATGTGTACTGGCGCTGAACTGGATACCTTTAAGCCCATTATACTATTTATCTTTCAAAATAGTCCTGAGGCTTAGAGGACAGCAATATTCTCCCTACTCACCCTTTTAAACCAGGGAAAAAATGGAAGCTCAGGAAGGTTAATATACTCAAGGTCACATGGCTCAAAGATGGAGCCTGGATTCTAACTCAGGCTTCAAAGATTCTAAAGTCCCTACCTCACATCCTTGATGCTTTTTTTTGTTTTTTTTTGTTGTAAGAAATAATAATGGCTATGATGAAGATAAAGTGGGAAGCTTAAAGAAGAGCATTAAATAGCCTTCATACCTTTTAATTAAAAAGATTGCTTTTTACACCACAAAGGAATCACTACCTACCAAAGAAAGTCTATGTTAGTACATGGGAGTATGGGTGAGTTGGTTATAATGACTTTTTTTGGTTTGTTTTAACAATTCCCTAGGCACATTTATGATCCATTATCTCTTTTGATCTCCACAATAGTCCTGTGAGGCTGTTGGGGGGCCAACATCCTCATTTCATATCTGAAGAGCTGGGCCTAAGAGGGGGGTTGGACTTGGTGAAAGGGCTCCAGCTGTGGGAGCCCCAGGGCTTCTTGTGCCCACTCTGAGGCCACTGTCCCTGCAGCTCTGTGCTGGGTTGGGGACGCTGAACTTCTTTCCTCACAAGCCTGGGTGAGCGCAAGGAAACTCTGACTCACTAAGGGTTAAGCCACATAAACTCTTTTATGAGTAGTAACCATTTACTGTGCCCTGTAAAAAAGGGCCCCTCACCATGCTGGCTTTCCCTAGGAAAGGGGGTGCCAGCAGGGAACAGCGCTCATGCACGCCAGCCTCTTGTGGGGGCCGGGTGGTGAACAGGGCAGATGTCACCTTGTAGTCCTCAAGGCTTTTCTCTGTGGGTTGAGGCTAGTTCTGGATGCCTCCAGGAGGTAATGGTGGGAAATGATGTCTGCCCTGAAGAAAGGGGTTTGTGGGCATTGGGTCACAAAGGGAGAACTGGCCCTCGCGGTCCTGTGACATTTATGACCTTCTTTTTTTACTACCCACTAAGCTCTCTACATGCAGGAACTCATTAGATTCCTGCAGTACTTTGAGTGTGGGGTTGTTCCCACTTCACAGCTGGGGAAAAGTGAGCCTCAGAAAGTTTTTGGCTAAACAGACTTGGAACTTGCTCAAGGTCATGCACAATGAGCAGGGGAACTAGGATCTCAGGCCACATCTCCCCAGCTCCAAAGCTGGGGTGCTAAGCCCTTACACCACCCTGCCTTCTGGGCTTTTTGGGGGACGTGTTTTTGGGGAGGGGGAAAAGAAGCTCTGAGCCAGTCAAGGTAATAACTCAGAATTGGCCCAGGCAGGTCCTGCTTATACTGAAATGGCCACTTTGAAATAGCCCTCCAGGCAAATCCTTGTGAAAGGATTTCAGGGAAGTCTATCCCTGCCCATTCCTCACCCTCCACCTCCCCACCCCCAGCCTGGAGGGCCTATTCCTCCGTACTGATGGGCTGGGCTCTGAGCTTCAGCCCTTTCAGGGTTAAACAGTAACCTTTCTACTGCTTGTGGTTGAGCAAATGCTGGCGAGGAACAAGCCCGGCCTTGAGCAAACAGGAGACTGGCCAGGCCCCTGCCTTTCCCGAGCCACCCCTCTGGGGACTGGGAGGTTTTCTTTTGCCTTCAAGCCCCTCATCTGATTTCTTAGCTTTCAGGAAATTGCTCTAAAAAGCTGGATGGGAAAAGGCCCAGTTATTGTGACAAAGAAAGGAAAGTTTGACTTGGTTTGGTTTTCCTTCTCTGAGGGTGCGAATCCAAGAGGTTTCTGGAACGGAACTTAAAAATCAATTTAGTCACTTTCTTTAGATGCTTGGATGGGGAAACTGAGGCCCTCAGTTGTTTCTGCTTAGGGTTATACAGCGAGGCAGTAGCTCTGTTCACATAACACCTGCCATGGAGTCATGACCTACTTTGGGCCAAACGCTCAAGGTATAGAAACTCACTTAATCTCCAATCAGTGCACATGTAGGTATGATGACCTGCGTTTTACAAATGAGGAAACTGGGGTTCAGAGAGTTAAATGACTTGTCTGTGTTAGCGCTAATCTTAGCTGGTAAGTGGTAGAGCCTGGAGTCAAACCCAGCTCCCTCTGGCTTCGAAGCTCTTACAGAAACCACATAGAACCCACTTCTCCTGTCTTCTCAGGTTGTGGTCCCTTCGCTGTCCCAAGGGTTATCATTCCCACCTGCCTTTCCTTCTCCACCTTCTACTGAGGCTGGATTCAGGCCTAATTATTTGTCAAACAGCCATGATGATGATGTTAATAATCATCTTAAATGTTTCTGGCTAGCCTAGTTCAATTCTTAATCACTGCTCTGTCCCCATGACCTAGGACGGGGCCCAAGCCCATAATAGGACTGATAAATTCTTGTTGAATAGGTAAATACATGAATGCATTTTTATTCCTTTTTCAGGCCTTTCCCCTCCCCTCTCAGGCCCTACGCAGACCCAGAGGAGCAGGAGCTAAGTCAGAGGAAAGGGTTTTGAGGCTGGAACTACCCTGCGTGGGTTATTTTGATCCTGGGGACATTGGTTACACACAAGGATGCAATATTTTCCCCAAACAGGCAGAAAAATTTTCCATGATCTGCTGCTATAAAACTAGCTTTCTCTTTCCACCCGACATTTTAGAAAGTGCACGCTACCTTTATATAGCCTCTGGGTAATAATGTCCAGTCGCCTTCTGGAAATGGCTGCTCTCCTGAGTGAACATTCATTCAAACGGGTCTGGAGTCTGAAAGGTGGAGGGTGCCTGGCTCGGGGGCAAGAACATTACAGAGGGTAGAGAACTGAAGCAAATATTTGTAGAGTATAAAATTTTTACATTGTTCCCAAAAAAATCCAAGCACACTCATAGAAGAAAGCTTCTTCTCCTGGGTCCTTGACTGAGGAAAGCGAGTCATCGAACTGAGAAAATCACCTTTCCGTCAGCTTCGGAGCTTGTGGTATTCTCTAGGTCTCTAAAAGGAGAAGGAAAACCGGTCAGAATTTTTACCAGGAAGAAAGGGAAGGGGCAGTGTCTTGTCAGGGAAAGCAACTGATTCTTATATTATCATGAAGCTGAATACTGAGCTCTCGGTCAAGTATGGCTGAGGCCCGCTGATGCCAGTCCACCCCATGGCAGGTATCTGAGTTGAGGACATGTGCTGGGTGTCTGGGTGAGGGGTTGCCCCAGTGTGTTGGGGTTTGGGAACATCTGATTTCAGGTCAGGGTTCCGGCAAAATCTCCTTGGCATTTTCACTTTTATAAAAAAGAAGAAGAGAAAGAAAGAAAAAGAAAGAAAGAAAGAAAAAGAAAGAAAGAAAGAAAGAAAGAAAGAAAGAAAGAAAGAAAGAAAGAAAGAAAGAAAGAAAGAAAGAAAGAAAACCCCAAAACTTGGCTGCTGGCCAGACTCGCCCTGGGAGCAGGTATTGCATTTTCTCTCCACTTCATTCCTGATCAGAGATTATTCATTTATGAATGGGTGGCTGTAAAAACTTGCCTCATGCATATGAAAACTGAACCTGGAAATTTTTAATTGCCAGTGAGTTTTGCTTTTGCTGAAAGGGCCGTGGCAATATGCTTCGGGGGCAATGGTTGGAAGGACGAATTTTCTTTTTTTTTTTTTCTTCCTAAATTAACTCTATGATCTGTCCTCTCAAATGATGTTTGTCCAGGAGGCACTGACTGAACAGGCTGTTTGATCCTCTTACAGATCATGATTCTGGAAGGAAGTGGTGTAATGAATCTCAACCCCAGCAACAACCTCCTTCACCAGCAGCCAGCCTGGACAGACAGCTATCCCACGTGCAATGGTAAGGGGGCCGCGTGGGTGGTGTGCTCCATCAGGATTTTCCCTCTGCTTTAATTAGAATTCATTCCCCCAACTGAATATTTGAAAAATGCAGCAGAAGGTGTGAGGCACATCGGGAGTGGAGGAAGCTTCCTGCTGGAGTTCCCTATGGGTCCCTAGGGCTGCAGGCTGAAGCCCATTTGAAACTTGATACATTTCATTGTGTCCTCTCAATATTCAAGGTTCTGGGTGGGCAACCTGGCAGAGAGGGTTGCAGAAGAGATGCTCAAAGGGAAGACCACCTGTTGAAGCTTTGAACAGTATTTGGCTTAGAATATCAAGACAGGATAGGAGAGAAAGCTGTGTGTGTGTGTGTGTGTGTGTGTGTGTGTGTGTGTGTGCGTGCGCGCGCGTGCGTGTGCACGTGTGCTCACCCGTGTGTGTTGCAAGGAAGCATGGAAGTTGAGGAGGAGAGCATTATAGCAGCTCAATCTTTCACTTTCATCTTCCAGTGACCTCCCTTTGAAGGGGAGAGATTTGTTAGGAGACCATGTGCCCTCCTTCAGTGCTGTAATGCAGAACCTATTGGTGGGGCTTGCAGAGGGTTTGGTGACCAAGCCCACGGCTCACTGTAGAGGCGGAACTGAATAAAGCTGTTGCTGAATCAGGGCCCCACACCCCATTGTGGAGGCATCCAGCTTGGGCAGACTGCTGTGTGTCAAGCTGCAGGAGCTTTAAGAAGCTGCGGGGCTTCTCCCGCCCCACACCTGCTGCTTATCTCCTTGCCAGAGACTCTGCTGCTCTTGATTCTCCTGAGAAATGGCAATGGCCTGTTGGTGAGCAGAGTTGGAGAAGCACGAGTGGGAAGGTGATGGGAGGACTGTAGTTTCCACTAAGCAGCCGATCCACCTGCAGCGCTGCCTCTTTCAGTTTGGAACCCCAGCCAAACACGGGTGAAAGCGTGAACAGGTGGCCTTCCCTTGCTTGATCACCTGTTCCGCCAAAGCGCTGCCTTTTCTGGGCAGTGACATTTTCTGTCGCAGGTCTCAGATTGCCTGTGGGGACCTCAAAGGAGGATTTCAAATAGGGCAGGAGGGTTCTGCAGAGGGGACGGTCTTTGACATCCCCAGGCCCTGGTTCCTCAATTGACTATCGATGCAACATTCCTCCTTTTTGCTTTGGACAGAGCTGGGGCAATTTACTTAGCAGGGGGTAGGATTAGGTGCCACTTTTACTGCTTAACTTCCAGAGGCTCCGGAGAAGGCCCAGCTCCTGGCCATGATTGATTGGGGGTGGGGGTGGGGGTGGGGAGAAGTCAGTTGAATGACAGAGAAGAGTGGAACTCAAAGGGTTTTCAGTGTTTCTCTTGAAATTTCAGGAGTCTAATGAGTCCCCTGGCTAATGGGGAGAATTTCCCAGTCGACTGCAGATAAAATTCTCTGGTTCTTTCAAGTTCTAACTGGATGCACCCTGAGGAGCTATCCTGTAATTTGGGTCATGTGAAGTTGAGAGATGAAATTACCCCAGGCCAGTTGTTGGGTTATTTTTAATTTTTATTATTATTTACTTTTTTTGGTTTTTGGATTATTGAGAGTTATGCCTCTCATTGGCACACCAAGAGCAGCACTATCATAGCACCACCACTATTTTAGAAAAAAAGAATAAAGACTCGGGGAGCCACAAAAAATATATCCCATCCTTAAACAGCTGTATTTGTGAGACCTCCAAAATTGAGGGAAAATGGGGACATCCAGCCTAAACTCTGCATGTTTGTATATTTGGGAGTATTTCTATGGAATGAAACTTTTGGACTAAATTTTCCCAATCCTTGCCCCCGTTCCTCTCCACCACCAACTTCCCCTTCAGGTCCCAAGCTGAGGGCTGAGGGCTGCTTTTACCTGGTCATGAGGCATGAGGAGTAAAGCACATGCTGTGAGAGGCCAGTATCACCCACGGCGGTCACCGTCATGCCTAAATGACCTCGACCTCCAGCTCGTAATGCTTTTGAAGTCTGGAAGTATAGGTTGGATTCTGAGGGGGTGAGCAAAAGTGGTGCTGGGTTCGAAAACTGGGAGCCTCTCCTCTGGGGGTGTTACAGGCTAGGCCATGGGCATTATGGGAATCCAACCTTTTGGGGCTCTTTAACTTCTTGCAACTCAAACTGTATCTACTGACCAGCGTCATCAAGTGGAAGCTGCTTAGGAATGCAGAAACTCGGGCCTCACCCCAGATCTGTGGAATCAGAATCCGCATTTGATCAACATTCCCTGGTGATTCATAATCACACTAGAGTTTGAGAAGCACTGATTTAGCACGACCTTGAAGAAAAACGGAGGGAGAATTTTCTTGTGCTATGTGTTTCTCTATTGGTCCATCCTTGAGTCTGTGGGAATATCCGTGTGTCATGTTCAGTTGGATTTCCCCTGCTTGAACTTGGTGGACTGGGATTGTGTCTTCCCCTTGCCCCGCCCCTCATCTTTCCCAGAAGAAAGCTCCTCCCCTTGACCTCTGTTTTCAAGGGGACTTAAAGATCCCTCAGCCCTGTTATATGCCCCCCAGGGGCTGGCTTCTCTCTTCTCCATCCCCCAGGACTTTGGGCTGACTTTGTGGTGTTCTCTTAAGTGAGCATGAGAGACACATACAAAGATGGCTAGCTCATAGCAAGCTGGCAGTTTTTATTGGTTTGAATGAACTTCACATCTTCACTGGTATTTGAATTAACCATCTTGTGAATGCACCTCACGACACTTCCATGTTCCTACATTGTTCCTTCTTCAGCAACAAATTCCACTGAAGAAATCTATAGAGAGCACCTGTGATCGCAGTCTCTAACGTAGTTTTTATAGGCGATACAAAGGTGGGTAAGGCAGGGTCCATGACCTTGCACATACAATTTACAAAGGACAATAAGACAGTACTTAGATACTGGTAAAGAAAAGCATAACATGACAAAAGATGTTAAGATAAATACCCAGCACATCTCTTGGAGAGTCAAAGGACAGCATAATAAGTTAGGAGTTTGCGGTGACTTGTCTGGGTGGTCAGAGTTTGAAAGCTGGGTAGGAGTTCAACAGGGAGTAATTTGCAGACTACAAACTGGGCTGAAAGAACAACATAGACAGAAGACAATGTCAGAGGTTCACCTGAAGAATAGTCGGTGAAGAGCCTCAATGCCTGCCTTGCCACTTTTGTACCTAATTTCAGTGGGTAATGGGAAGCTACTGAAAGTACCTGAGTAGGGAAAGTACATCATAGTGGCCATAATAACCAGTGTGGGGCCAGGGTATGTCAGCGCAACTAGTAGATGGATAACCTGGACCACTCTGGGGAGAAGCAAAGGTATCAGAGAGAAAAGAAAGTTACTCTCAGGCCTCATTTTTGGCTGAAAATGGCCTGAATTTGGTGTGTGTGTGTGTGTGTGTGTGTGTGTGTGTGTGTGTGTGTAAGAGAGAGAAAAAGATGGAAGAGAGAGAAGGGGAGGAAGAGAGGAAGAGAACTATGTGGGTATAAATAAGAAGCTAATAAGTTGCTGGAACTGAAGCAATGCTTTAGTTTTCACTGTACTTTTGGGGGAGGTAGGGGAAGGAGTTCATGGTCTGAGAGCATTTCAGGTCTCATGTCTTCATCCAGCCCCCAGGGGTGAGTATTACTCTAAGGAGGGCATGAAGATTCATGGAGGCTAAATGGCCCCCGATGACAACTAGGAAAAGAACCACATTTCCCAGAACCTCCTCTCCAGAGCTTATCTCATGCTCCAACCCCCACTGATGCACACAGTCCGTGGTTGGGTTTCCCATGACATCCGGCAGCCAGAGGCATAGCCCTCTGACTGGGAATATGCCCAGGGACAGCCACAGTTGACTCACAGAACCACCTCCTGTTTTTCAGTTTCCAACGGGTTTTTTGGAGGCCAGTGGCATGAAATCCATCCTCAGTATTGGACCAAGTACCAGGTGTGGGAATGGCTCCAGCACCTTCTGGACACCAACCAGCTGGATGCCAGCTGCATCCCTTTCCAGGAGTTTGACATCAATGGCGAGCACCTCTGCAACATGAGTTTGCAGGAGTTCACCAGGGCAGCGGGGACAGCAGGGCAGCTCCTTTACAGCAACTTGCAGCATCTCAAGTGGAACGGTGACTATCTCTCTTCCTATCTTGCTAGGAGGCAGCTGAGAAGAGCAGAGACTCTGCAGCTGGCAGGGTTCCTGGTCAGGGACATCAAAAGATGGTCTCCCCTCCAAACCACTGTTTCCAAGACAGGGAAGTAGGAGTGAGATGAGAGGACAGGCATGAAACCTAGGGTACGAGGTGTGTCTACTCTTGTACAAACCCCGTGTAATTTAATTCTCTCATTATGGTTAATTTTCCAGGAGACAAGCGCTAGGCAGGTATTCACAGAATACTTGCTACTCTCAGAAAACCTTTTCTTCTTACCCTTGCAAACAGGGTTTGGTAGTTTAATTCTCAATTACTTGCTTGTTAAGATCATTATGGCTACTCTTTTTCTTTTTTTTTTTAAATGTCTAGGCCTAAGTTCTTAAGATGGAACCTAAGGGTGGTAAGAAGATATGCAAAATGAGATCTATGTTTGTGTTTTGGGAGGGGAGAAGGCTTATAGTACTTCAGCAGATTCTAAAAAGCTCTGTTAATTAAAAAAATGGGCATTAGAACTAATGGTCTGGACACACGCGGGACATTTCTGCAGTGGTTTTTGTAGTTGGCACTGCCCTACAGACCCAAATGTCTGTCTTTTGAGGCCTCATCTACACCCAGGCAGGCACCATTCAAACAATGTCCATTGGTGACAGTTGATTCACACACACACACACATTCTATACTAGCTTGTAAGACATGGGTGAGGGGGGGGGCGGGGCAGACAACTCACCTCCTCGCAGAATGTCTTTGACACTGGCATAAAGTTTCCCTGACAATGGCTGTAAAAGCTAGCTCCTCTGCGAACTATAAATATTTTGGAAAGTAGTGATGTATAAGAATAGTGAGATGGCCAGTCCACATCAGAATGAGCAAGTCGAGCTTAGCAGAACCTCTATTTAGGCAGGTCGCTGGGGCTTTGGAAAGCGTGAGCTCTAGGGCAGTGGAGCAGATTCAGACCCTGACAACTGCCATCAACACTGAGGACCCAGAGTCAGGCCGAGGAGCTGGCAGCGTGGTGGCCACTCCCTTCTCCCCACCCATGTCACAGAGGTGGTTGCTCATTTTTCTTTTACTAGAACCAAACAAAACAAGACTCTATAAATAACCCCCAGGAATCTTCAGAAAGAGCAGACTTACACTTGAAGAATTAAAAATATTTACCTCCCACCTCCAATTAAATCCACTCCTTTAAAGCTTTGCCTTCATTGAACCCTAAGGCAGCGTGTCCTGGGAGGTGATGTGGCCATCTTTGACCTTCCATCTTTGACCTCCTGTGCCTTGTTTAGCCCCACTGTGTGCTGCTGGTGCCTCTAGAAGTGCTTAATGACCAGATTTCTCACCTTTGTTTTGTTGTTTGCCTTTTCATAAACAATCTATTAACTTACATTTGTTAAGTGTTTACTTACACTAGGCACACTAAGTGAGTTGATTCATTTAATGACCTTATGAAAAAATACTGTTCCCATTTTATAGGTGGGAAAACTGAAGGTCCAAGAGGTTAAAGGCATGACCCCTGCTCCTGAGATATTTATAATCTGGCTGGGAGGAAAAATATATGAGATTCATCCACATGTATATACATGCTTTTATATGTGACACATCTAGAGAGGAGCTGAAAGACATAAATAAGGGAAGAATCACTGCATATATCCAGACACAGTTCATAGATTGGAGCTAATCAAAATGGGATTGGTTAAATTTAAGATTAAAGGAGAATCACACTAATTAAATTAAAATGGGTTTCATTGTATTCTTGTTTTCATTTTGTATCATATCTTAGTATTGGAAAGCACCTTAGAGGCTATCTAATAACCTTATCTAGTTTAATCTCCTGAATTTACAGATGAGGAAACCAAGACCCAGAAAGATGAAGTACCTTGCAGTTATTAGTGGAAAAACTGGCCTTCTGACTTCTGAAGTTCTATTTCCACCAGACTGGATGTCTTCCTTATACAAGGCCAAATAACTCCATCTAGGTGCCCTACCTCCTAATTTTCTGAGCCAGGGACTCCAGCCTTGAGTCTGTAGATGCAGAGAGGGAAAGCCCCGCCCATAAGCAAACAGAGGTCATCAGGCAGTGGGACTGGCTCTTTCAAGAAGCCAGCTCTGTCCTTGTTTAAGTTTTGACTCCATGTGAGCCCCCTCTGACTTTCCCAATTTGTCCTTCACAGGCCAGTGCAGCAGTGACCTGTTCCAGTCCACACACAATGTCATTGTCAAGACAGAACACACTGGTGAGTAGCAACAGATAGAGTCAATTTAGGCAAAGCCCTGGGGAGGACAGTTGGGAGGGAATGCAAGGGAGTGTGGGAGCAGGGGGAGCCAACATTTTGGCAGCAAACCCAGGGATGCCTCTTCCCTGGCTGTCTCCAATGGGCCACACTCCATGAGCCTTATCTTGTGTGCTTGGGACCAGTTAACTGCCAACTATCTCTGATTTCTAGATCGATGGTGAGCCTAATTCTGCCCACACTTCTATGCTTCCCACTTCTGGTCAGGGCATCACATACGCTCCAGTCTAGGAGCTGGGGAAAAAATGGCAAGTCTAAGTGGGTCTCCTTCTCACCACAAAGAGTCAGAGGACTTGGCCAAGCTAGGAGAAGCAAGAGGAGAGAAGAAGAGGGGTCAATGTCTCCTTTTCCTCTCCTCCCTTGGTGGGGGTGTTACCCAAACAAGAGGAAGATGTGGACTTGCTGTTGTACTTACCATCGTTTCTAGGGGGCCCTTGGAGCTAACGTAGGGATGTCCAAAGGCAGCTGTGGAACCCAACTCCTGCCTTAAGTGTATTTTTAAATGAAAGACACTATTCTGGGCTCTGAGTAGGGTCTGTAGTCCCATAGTATCTACATTTATTCTTCCCTGTCTAATCACTCCTTCCCTGTCCCATCTTTGTCCTGGGGACTTTCTGTCTCCCCTGGAGACTTGCAGGGGACAGTAATTGCCTCAAGATGTTGTGCCCCATGGCCTTGTACCAATCAGAGCTCCTTGCATATTGACCTTTGGCCTATGGCCTTAGTCTAGGGAAAGCTATGCAAGCCCCCCAAAGTCCATGGGCCATGATGAAATTGTGTGGCTGCCACTGCCCCAGGGCCACTCCCCAGGTCTTCATCAGTGAGATTGCAAGCCACGTGGGCTGACCAAGTTTGCCACAAGCCTGCCTGAGGGTTGCGTGCCAGTCACCAAGGGCAGAATTTGACCTAGGGGTAATTTGTGAGTCACTCAGAGCTGAAATTATTCCCATGTGATTATTTACTCTTTTATAAGGGGGCTAGTCTACCATTATTAAAGAAAAAACACAATAGCTGCTAAGCATGTTAATTAGGTTTTCCTAGCCCTGCCCTTCCCCCACAGACATGGGGTTGGGTTGCCCTGATGGTCTCCATTCTTTATGAGTCTGACTGCTGTAGAGGAAGACACAGGACTTGGCAGAAAGATGGTACTCCCCAACCCCACTCTGACCCAACAGATAGCCCCATGGGAGAAGCCAGGGTGATATGGAGAGGTCACAAATAACTTGATCGTTCCTTCTTGACCATCCAGACTTTCTGGTGCTGCCAGTTTGGAAAAGCTGAGCCAAAGGGTGGAGAAGAAGGTCCACCCTGGTAGGAGGGGAGAAGCGGCTGACAGAGGGGCCAACACCCCCAAACCTTTTGGGTTCAGTTTGTTTTCAGAGACAACAACAGGTGTACGAGGTGACCCAACAAGGAGAGAGGGTGTAACCCCAAGAGATTGGGCTTGGGATGCCCAAACACGTAGCTATTAGTTAAAATACCAGCTAAATCCCTATGTCGTAAACAGGAGGACTTAGCCAGTGAGTCAGGGTTTGTACCTTTTATGTTATAAAAACAAAATGAAACTCGGCCAGTGGTTTACCACCCTGGCCCTGAAATTCAGAACCTGGGCTGGAGGGGAGCTGAGGGCAGCCTTGATTTGTGAAGAGAAGAAAGGAGGAAGTTCCTGGTGGGGACGAGGTGAGAGCTTCTGCCAGATCTTACAGCTCTTGGCCAGCCAGGAAAGATAATGCTTTTGTTGGAGACTAGCCCAGATGTAGGGGTTGCGTAGGAGTTGGGCTTCATTTGGGGTAGGCGGAGGGGAGTTTTCTTTGAGTCTGAAATCTGACGAGTCAATAGGAATGAGATTTGCTTACCCAGCACACTGGGGAGACTGACAGAGACAGACAGAGAGAGAGAGAGAGAGAGAGAGAGAGAGAATGCTTTTCCAAGATAAGACAATGGGGCCCTACTCTTAAAAGTTGTTTGGTTTGGTAACACTCTCCTCCCCTTCTCCTCAGTTTTGTCCTGAGAATTTCATATCGACCCTTAAACTAATTAGAGAAATCCTAGAGGGAGGGGGCTGTCATCCCTCTAGAAGAGATCTCTCTGGAGTGCAGCAATGAATACACTATGATAAACCTGACTAAACTTTTTCTGAAAAAAAAAATCATTAATTCTCCCAGGAGGATATTACTAGAAAAAGATGCCCATTAATCATGAAGTTATTTGTCCCTAACAATTTCTTTTTCTAGTATAAAAGTATTTTGGTGATGATATAGTAAAGTGCACGACAATGCCAGACTCCTGAACCCACCCCCTGCCCTGTGCCCATGGAGAAAATGCCCAGGAAGACAAAGCATTGGTCTAGGACAGGTTCTTGCTGTTGCAAATTCCCTCACTTCTCTAAAAGAACAACAGGTGTAGAACCCATGGAGAGAGCCAGAACAAAGTCCATTTCCCGCAGGACACTAGAAGAAACGTGGGGTAACATTATTATACAGTAACATATGGCTGAAGCAGAATCTCATCCTTCTGTCTGAGGACCACCCCCCTATATTCCAAGCCTCTTCGATGAGCAGTGAGTCAGAAAACAGAAAAGGCAAATTCTTCCACCAGGGATGATAACTGCTGACCGTTCCCATTTTCTGTCCTTTGTAGACCCTTCCGTCATGAACACCTGGAAAGAAGAAAACTATTTATATGACACCAACTATGGTAGCACAGTAGGTAACTAACTCCCCAATACTTAAGGCCCTGTGACATTCTTATTCTGTTTTTCTAACAGCAAAAAACTTCTGTTGTAAGGAGGGGGCTCTTAATGTTCTTTATTTTTTCATTGTTACAGATTTGTTGGACAGCAAAACTTTCTGTCGGGCCCAGATCTCCATGACAACCACCAGTCACCTTCCTGTTGGTAAGTTGCCCTGATATCAGAGGCTAAGTGTGCCTCGTGCAAGTGCTTACTGAGCATTAATGAGAATTACCAACATTCTACGTTTCCACTTTGCTGGAGTCTTTCTCATTAAAAGGCTAGGCAAGGAATGGAGTTACTATTTATAAAAGATCTGCTTTTGAGCCAATATTTGTACATTGAAAATGACCAGCACGGATGCCTCTAGGAAAAGTGTTTGTCTCCTGTGAAACCAAATCACTCCCTTGTGACCACAAAACCTCTCTTTTTAACAAAAACTTGCTCTTGGGAAATTATCTGATAAAATTATTCATACTTGAGTATACTTATGGGGACAGAAGGCTATGTTTGATTTTCAACAAACTTTTGGTTTTAGAGAGAGAATGTCTAACAGTAACATTCAAAAATCCATGAATCCATTGGAGATGGTCTTTGGGTAGAAGGCTAGCAACTGGAATATTTCAGAACCCCAGGAATCACACTATTTTGTCACTATGTTAAGTCTGATCCTGATGGCTCATTAGGACTCTCCAGTCAATAATGTACACTTTATGACATTAGTCTTATTTAGTTTAGGCTGGATGCAACTGGGGGCTATCCATGACTCAATCAAAGGTGGTCTGCTGGGAGTCTAGGAGTGGGGCCTTCGGATGATATTCCCCCTCCATTTATAAATAAATTCATTGGCATTGGCATGTGCCGTGTATAAATGAATGCACTGGGGAGGTGAATAGAGGGTTTCGTGTTGTTCCTAGATCTGGGTGCAAACTTATGCATCTGTCTGGGTCTATGAAATAGAGCTTAGACTTTTCCTGGAATTGAATTTGGAGCAACTTCAGGTTTAAATGAGTGTTTGTGAAGGCAAGCACAGAATCAAACAATTCCACCTCCTTCCTTCCTTCCTTTTTTTTTTTTTTTTCTCTTGTTGAGTGTGTTTTTGAGAACTGAAATAATGAAAGCTTTTGGTTTGAGGTTTTGTTTGGGTCAAGCTCCTTGAATGAGAGGGCTAGGAGCCAGTGCAAATGCTTCTGGAATTGAGGTTAAGAACTGCGGCCAATTCATCTCTCTAGTTCCCCCTCCCCCCTCAACGACCCATAGCATCATGTGTCATTTTAAGTGTTTGTTGAAAGTAGGGAACAGGTCAAACCCTGGAAAGGCTCTGCAGTGGATTTGCCATTCTGGGGGAACTGAGCCAATCCAGGTAAAATTTCTGTGGCAATCTTTGCCACCCAGTCAAGAGCAAGGGTTTCAGAGCTGAGGAAACCACCCACCCTGCTCACCCTCAAACTTCTTCTCTCACTTCCTAAGGTGTCACCTCCCACGTCCATCCTTCTGGTTGGATCTTTGGCTTATGGCAAAAGATTCCAACTAAAAATCAAGTTGAACCAACCACTTCCTGAGCCTCAGGGTTTGTTAGGTCTTGAGGCACCTGGGAAAGTCAAAAAGCCATAATTACAGCTCTACTGTCCTCACAGCCAGGCCACCCTTCTCTTGTCCATATCCTGACTTGCTTTCTAGAATCTCAGACTCTACAGGGGACTTGGAGGCCAGTTTCTGCTTTCCTATTTGCAGTAACCAAAAACTCACTATCTTTGGAGTCCATCTATCCTAATTTTGAATAGTCCTTCTTAAAATGGGCTTTACAAATCCATTCCACGTTATCTCCCTGATCCTTGATTCCCCCGCCCCCCCATCCCTCATTCCTATCCCACACTGTAACTGCAGACTGAAAAATGAGATAAGCATTCAGAATTCTATCAGAATTATTACTTAAAGAATCAATTCAGTGTCAGGGGTTGGCAAATTCTTTGGAATGACAGCCCTCGGGTAGGATATTTAATTACAGCCTTGTTTGGGTCAATTCATTTCAGAATAGTTTAGTCTCTATTGGATGGAACAAGACCCCTGCCCCCACAACCCCCCAAAGAAACCTTTGTCATTTGTCCGAGTTTTTAGATTTCAAGCTCCCATTAACTTGAATGCAGTTAAATATCTTTCTATGTTTTAATGCAAGTTACAAGCTGAGCTAAGGCGAGGCCCTACATAAACTGATGCCCTCTGTGATAAACACAGGTGGGGGAAGCGAGCTTTGTTTTGATTTCTCTGTCATCTGCCCATTTCATAAAATGGCCGCCGGTGTTCCTGATCTGCCCGATAGTCCTCAAGACAATCATGCCAACTCAGGCTTGATGTGTTTATTCACGGACTTGTTGAGCCTAAAGCTAGGGTGGCACAGTCTATTATAACACTGAAATTTGTATATCCCGTAAAGACATGGCTCACAGCTGAATCATATGCAAATGCTTCTAATCTTTGCTTCTTGTGAAGCAGCTTAGCTGAAGTCATGTTCTGGAACTTGCATCATAAACCTGTGACTTGGTGCTGCCCCAGCCCGGACTGGACCTCGGCCTGAGGTACCTGGGAGCAGAGCAAGAGAAAGCCAAGCTGGACCACTTCCCCAGAGCAGACCATTCTTTTATAGGCATGAATCACTTCACCACATGGCTACCTTCAAAGGTTTTGACTTTTGTTTGGGAGTGAGGGGAACACATAGGGGGAGAGGCCATCATATTAAAGGGAGGTTTCAGATCAAAAGCTTTTAGTGCTAAGGCAGGTCAGTGGCTTCACAGCTTGCCCTTGCGCTCTGGGGAATGGGACAAGGAGATGGGAAGAAATTCGAGTTTCCTTTTGCCTTTGGCTGCATATTTCCCCATATGGTGATGAAAACATTTTTATTTGGGGATTTTTCTTTTTTTAAATTTGATCTTTCCTAAGCTGAATGGAGTTGTAGCCTAGGTAAAATGGCTGATATCTCAAAGAGAAAATTCCCTCACGGTCTACCTGGTGTGGGGGTTTTTAATCAGGGGTCCATGGACTCCTAAGTGAGCCACAAACCCGTGAAATTGTACACCGATTTCCACAAGTGTACACATGTGCTTTTGTCTCAGGACAGGGTCCAAGGTTTCCACCTTATTCACAAAGGTACCTTAACCCCAAAGGAATTGATTTGCTATCAGCTCAGAACCCAGACACAATGACTGAGCCAATAAACTGAGAGACATCGGTTTTTCTTAATTCAACCCTGGCTCTGAAATAATGGCCCTGCACCCCTCCTGGCTGCCATCTGAAGACGAGCTTTGCTTGTGGCCTGCTGGGTAAATGCCACTCTTTGTCTGTAGAACAACGTGGCCCTGTCAGAGTGATATATCACTTGGAAACCAGGGTGGGTGCCAGACCTGTTGCAATATTGTCACATCCTGATGGGATGTTGCAACCTCACCCTGAAACCTACAGGGAGGGAGAGTGGAGTCTCCTTTGCATTTCATGTGAATTTGTCCTTCTAGATTTCAGAGAAACCCAAGTCAGGTGCAGGTCTCCTTCTGACAATGCCTGGGGAGAAATTTTTAACCAGGATAAGAGGTTTCTTTCCAACCAGATCTTATTAATTCCCTTCCTCCGTCCTGCCATAGCTTTCAGAGAAACTGCTGGGAGCATTGAGCCATGACAAGCTGGGTGAGCAGATAGGTGAATGTGTCCATGCACATTGGGAAATACAGAAGCGTCACTGGAATGTCTTTCCCCCACTAACTAGACCATAATAGAACTGAACCTGATTCTTGGCAGGGAAGACTCGTGGAATCTGTTATGTGCCACCAGCTTTGGAAATGGCATAGGATAGTGGTTATGCATAAAGCCTCGGCTATCAAATTGTTTGCGTTCACATCCTGGCTCTATTCTCAGGCTGTATGATTTTAGGCAAGTCATTTGACCTCCCTGTGTCTCAGCTATAAACTTTGGATCATATTACTACCTACTTCATAGGGTCATTGTATGAATTAAATAAAGTGATTCATGTTAAGTGCTTACTTAGCACAGTGCCTGGTACATAGTAAGTGCTCAATAAACAGTAGCTATTCTTCTTAACCATTTTAATTAGGAGCTATAATGGATATTCAGCCTTTTTTGAATAATGGACCACCACTCTTGACAATTCAATGAGCACTGTGGGCCCTCTCCCTTTGCATGAAGTTCCAATCAGTCTGAGATGCCTTTGGAGGCCCCACATGGGTCAGTGAACCCTAGTTTAGGAAGCCCTGATGTAATGCATACAAAAGAGATGCATTTTACTAGCTCAGTTTCTTAAAGGATTAGCTTGCATTTAGGGACAACTCTGTATTAAAATTGGTGGATTTTCGATTGTGGGATTTTTTGGTAAGATCTGCCTTGATCCTTCTGACACCAAAACTGCCCACTGACACGCGCGTGCAGATGCGCGTGCACACACACACACACACACACACACACACACACACACACTGCTAGATCATTTTGCTTTCCTTTCAGGTTTTATTTCACAGATCTGCCTCTGTCTTCTCTTTGGTGATGGTCACACGGGTTACCATAATGAGTCATTTGTTAAACTAATCTGTGTTTCCATAGTCCATGGTGGCGCTCTGTACTGAGATCAGGCCAGTCAATGGCCTCTTTGTCAGGCTGATTAAAATGTAACTTTGCATGCCAAAAAGGCACTCCTTTGGCTTAAAAGTCATCTTTCTTTGTTATAAATGTTTACATTTTTGTATTATGGAAAAAAACACAACACAACCTTTTAATGACCTAAATCCTTCAATGGCTTTCCATCTCTCTCAGAATAAAACACTAAAATCCTCAAAAAATCCCACAGAGCGCTAATGATCTGAACTTTAGCTCCTACCCTTTGCCCCGTGCTCACAGCCACAGTGGCTTCCTCCTGCTCTGCAGACATAGCAAACACACATGGAACTCAGGGCCTTTACAGTTACTATTCTCATGCTTGGAAGACTCTTCCACAAGCTCTCTGCATGACTGTCTCCTTCACATCCTCCTTGTCCCCTTATCAGAGAGGTCTTCTGTGACCACTTTTGAGTAAATTGCAAATTCTTCCCATCTCCACACTTCTATCCCTAGGTCTTACCCTGCAATATTTTTCTCCATAGTGCTTATCATCTCTATTTTGTTTTGGTCACTACCACATACCTGAACAACACCATGCATGTAGTAGGTGCTCAATAAATATTGGTGAAATGTGTGGATGAATGAATGAAAATGATAATAGGAGGAAATAGGTAAATTAAGCAGCTCTCATTTTTCTCTTTAGCAGAGTCACCTGATATGAAGAAGGAGCAAGATCACCCTGCCAAGTCCCACACCAAAAAGCACAGTAAGTGGCCTGGCTTTCAGATGGCACTTGGCCTGTCCCTTCAAGTTGGGTGTAATGAGAGGCCACTAGTGTTTAGACAAGTATGGCCTCTGCCCGCTGCCTCCATTTCTTTACCTCAAACTAAGGAGGGTGAGAAAACGTAGGCGTCACTTGCTGCAGTTGCTTCTCTCTGCAGTTGCTTCTCAAACTGACGCTCCAATGGATATCTCCCCCTCCCGTTCTATTTCTAAAACTGAGACACCCAGTAAATAAGAACTGTTCACAGGCATGGGGTTAGAGGTTTTCCTTTCTCCAGAAAAAAACAGTGGGACGAGGAGAAAGATGGAAAGAAACAACACAGATGTATTATTATTATTTTTTGCTTTTGCTGAATGTTGGTTTCCTACCTTTGTGGAGTTAATGTTCCAAGAAATGACTGTTTATTCTTAAGATTCAACAGTGCTCCTTGGGAGTTGTATTTCCCCCAACAATAAAACCTTATGAAAGTGTATGAAATATCAGAGATAAGGTGTGTGTGGGGGGGATGGGGGTGGATGGGTGTGTGGGTGGAGGGAGGCATAGAAAGAAATCAAGATGGTATAATCTAGAAATCATAGGGAATTGGACATCTTTATTATCTGCTACTCCAGGTCATCCCACAGAACAGAATTCACATAGCCCCTCAAACTGGAGGGCTGGGGGTGGCCTTGTGTGCCACAAGTCTAGTGGGGGTAAAATTGAATTTGGTTGCTGATCTCATTACAGTAGCTGCTTTATATATATATATTCAAACTGGGCTCCCCAATCCTTGTGAGGCCTTGCCCCAATCTATTCTGGGCGTTCAAATTCTAGAACCCAAATGATGTGCATTTGGCTGAAGCACACTTGTTGGGTGGGCGCCATTTAATTGGTTGAGCTACTAAATAGAAGTGGTTGCAAGTTGCTCTCCTGGGCAGTAACAAGTTGAAATGACTCCCCAGCAATTTGTCAACAATCCTTAGGAGATACTCCCCCTGGCATAGAGCACCTCAGGCTTATTCTTTCATTTTGGCATTGCCACTACGTAACTATGTAACCTTGGTCAAGTCACTTAAATTCTCCGTGTCTCAGTTTCCTGTTTTGCAAACTGAAAAATCATGCTACTTCATTCTCAAACACCTTTAAAAAAATAAAAACCCCCACATATTTGGGGATTCTGTGATCTGGCTTCTCTGATGGGTAGGGGAGCATTGAGTATCTGCTGCTTGATGGAAGATGTCGCAGCTCTGCTTTCTCTGCCCCTAATTTGCTGTGACTTAGGCCATTACTAAGCTCCTTTTTCTTCTTCTTCTCAGATCCACGAGGGACTCACCTATGGGAATTCATCCGCGACATCCTCCTGAACCCAGACAAGAATCCAGGGTTAATCAAGTGGGAAGACCGGTCTGAGGGCATCTTCAGGTTCTTGAAATCGGAGGCGGTAGCTCAGCTATGGGGGAAAAAGAAAAACAACAGCAGCATGACCTACGAAAAGCTCAGCCGAGCAATGAGGTGAGCAGTTTCTAGTCTCTGAACATGAGAAGGCCGCATGACCAGTTTACTTCCCTGGCAGGCTCAGCCTCACCAGCCGCCTTATGCAATGTCTTTTGTTACAGATATTACTACAAAAGAGAAATTCTGGAACGTGTGGATGGACGAAGACTGGTCTATAAATTTGGGAAGAATGCGCGTGGATGGAGAGAAAATGAAAACTGAAGGTGCTGACACTTGGAACACAAACCCAAACATACCCCAAATCACAACAACCCGAAAACTCCTGGACATAAATATTTCAAAGACTACTTTTCTCTGATATTTATGTACCACGATGAGGGGGTGGAAAAAATCTACTTCTAATGGGAAGAAGGAACACTACAGTTGATACAATTATTTTGTTACTTTCAAGTATGTCCTATATAGGGAACAAACGTACACAGTTTTCTGTGATCTATGATGCTGTATGTGATTGTGATTTGTGTTTGCCTCTATTGTGAAGTTCTTTTCCCCTGCAAGAAGAACAGGGTTTGTTGCATTGTGCTTCTTGCTAAGAGAAAGAAGAAAAAAAAAATCAGAGGGCATTAAATGTTTTTATATGTAAAATGATTTAGGAAAAGGTGATGTGTCCTTCGCACATAAGCATCAACATGGCCTCATCAGAAGAGGTGGGCAGGGCTGCTAGGATGAACTCCAGGGTCTCAGATGGACGGGACAAACCAAAGGATGCTGGGAAGTTTAACCTGACCTTTAGGAGCCATTGAATGGAGAATAAGGACTTCCAAAAGTCAGATGACTTGCAATGTTTAAATCAGAAGAATAATAGTGGGGGCTTTATACTCATTGAGGAATGAATTTCCTGATGCAAAGACTATCTTTCCTCCTCCTCCTTGGACGATTGGTGGAAAAACTTCAATTGCCACCTCTGCTCACTTTTAGTTATTTAAGACAGAGTATAGCCTTGGCTATTTTTATCCCAATTGCTTAAAAATAAATGGGAAAAAGGATGTGATGAGTTTGCTCTTGTATTCCTATAGTCCACGGTTTCTCAATTGGCACAGTTGACATTTTGGGCTGAATAATTCTTTGTTGTGCATTATTTGGCTGTCCTGTGCTCTGTAGGATGTTTGGCATTATCCATGACCTGTACCCACTGATGCCAGTAGCACTCCTGACCCCAAAGCCGTGACAACCAAAAATGTCTTCAGACATTTCTAATTGTTTCCAGGGGGGCAAAATTGCCCTTGATTGAGAAACACTGATTTAGCCAGTCAAGATGAAGATGGTGATTAGTCTCAAAACAAAAGGACGTTTAAGATCTTTTAGTCCCTAGAAAGAAGCAAAAGCAAGACTTCAAAGTCGGCTTATTTTTAATTTTTTTAATATTAGGGACAATGGGTTTAAATATCTAGAGGGACTTCTTTTCAGAACCCCAGATGAGAGCCAAAGTCAGAAAAATTAAACAGGGCAACGTACAAGAACTACAAAGAAGACATTTTCACTGGAATTACAGAGTAAAAATTATATTGCAGAAGGAAATGCTGAGAGAATGTATGCGTGCGTGTGTGTGTGCATGCGTGTGCATGTGTTGCATGAGATGATAGACAGATAGACAGACAGACAGATAGATAGATAGATAGATAGATAGATAGATAGATAGATAGATAAAGTTCCAGGGAAAATCTTCTTTGCAGATGTCAATTCTTATAACCTTTCCTCTTTTGGGTCATTTCTTTCCTGTCTCATATGAACTCGTCCCAAAGTGAATGGTATATTGCCTAGATTTTCAACCAGAGACATGTTTAAAAAAGAGACAGAAAAGAAAGGAAGGATGTTAAAAACAGAAAATGCAGCTCAGGTGCTATGGTCAGTAAGGAGTTGGAGACTTTGGCAATGACGGGGTGATTTTGGGGTCCCTGGGGACTTATCATCAACTGGGCCCTGCAGCCTGGGAGGACTGTGAGCCTGTAAACACTTTGAAATGGGTTTGGACATCTAGATTCCTTTGCAACTTTTCTTCTTGACTCCCTTGTCCTTGGCTTTCTCCTCCCGTCTGCCTCTCTTGAGCATTCATGTGGCGCTGAAGACACGTTCCAATAAGAGGGAGTCCTTTTCATCAACTAATGGAGCACCCGCCACAGTGGGTCACCCAGCGGACGTGAGCAATTCTTAGTCAAAGGGTGCAAAGTGCTTGTAAAATATTCAGAAGCCTGGAAATAAGAAGAATTAAGACTTTGTCCTAATTATAATGAGAACCATTATGAATGGTGACCTTGGGGCACCAGCTTAGATGAATGACCTTCTGAAGGTACAACCAAGTCTGTTTTTGTTTCTACCTGGCTTGGTCACCACCACAAAAGCATTACTCAGTGTTGTCAAGTAACAGTTACTGAGGGGACTGAGAGAAATAACAAGGAGCAGCAGCTGAGATCCGAGACATTCCTGCATAAAACAAACACCTTGCTTTAGGCTTTCCCAGCATGTGCCTATACTTCCCACAGAATGAATTAAACCTCCAGATATTTGATGTAATGCTAGTGTGTCTGTGTGTGTCTGAACTGTGTCATTTGGGACACCTGCTAGTTCTCTCACTGCTGTTCCTTCCCTTGCTTTGCCTGTTCATCACCTAAGGTGGCTAGATTTTTCTCCGAGCTTACCCTTCCCCAGCCCTGTAGGCTTCTCATGTTTCCCTCAATTGGCCTTGGCTTTTCCTGCACCCTCTCTGCTGGACAGTAATCTTTGCAAAGTAGTGAGTGAGTCTGGGGAGTACCGACTGGGACAGTTCTGCAGAGAATTAGCAGATAGTGTGGTGTGTTGAATGTGGCAGCTTCTTGGCAGCTGGCTCCTACTTAAACAAGCTGGAGTATTAAGTTCTCAACATATCTCTCCATTGTCTTTGCTTGAATTTGATGCGTTTTCTATGTGCTGTTCGTGACTTGGAGAACTCAAAGTAATCAAGCCACGCCAACTTGGGGTGTGAACAGAACACTTCCCACCACAGTGTTGAAAGGGAGAGCAAAATCCCAGAGATAAGCCAGCATCAAGTGAAGCCCCTTTACTTTTGGGGGACACACGGCTTCACCCTTGAGAAGCTCATCTGTGCTGGATGCTTACATGGTCCCTACACGTGCTCTCTCCAAGCCCTCCTTAAACTTGGGTGCTTATTTGTAGTTTTCATGGTTAACCTGAGGCAGGAAATGTATTGCTCAGACTTTATCAGACTCAGATCATCTAAAACTCCTAGATATTTGACTTGATGAAACTTGAGTAAGGCCCTGGATCCCAGGGACACACCTACAGCTTCTTGTACTTGCTGTCTGAGCCGGGCAGACCCAAGTTATGAGTTTTCCTTTGGACACTCTGGTCCTTCCTCATAGATTTTGCCTTGCTAGACTGTAAGCTCTTCGGGGGCAGGGACTATATCTTATCAATATTTTTTCCCCCAGTACTTAACATGAGATAGGTGCTCAATAAATATTTGTTGAGTGAATGAATGAAAACATCCCCTGGAAGACTCCTCGGATTTGGTGGCTATCTCCATCATCGGATGTGAATCATTTCTTCACCAGAATAAGAGCACAGGGCCATGATGTCAAGGACATATTATCTGTTAGATGAACATTTTACTGTGAGATGCCTTACTTTGCCTTCCTACTTGTGCTGAAATGAAACCAAAACAGGCTGTTTGCTTCTGCAAATCATGTATTGGATGAGAATTCTGTTGCCTTGTTAGGAACTGTGAGATTTATCTGGTTTAAGAAACCAGTAATGAACCTTTGACCTGTTTCAACCAATGAAGATTATGAATGTGTTTATATGATATAAATTGCTATTTAAGTGTAAAGGAGTTCTAAGTTTTAGTATTTTGGGGTTGGTTTATATATATATATATTTTTTTCTTTTTGAAAAATATGGAGGGGTCCTTTGATAAGGTAAGTCAAGCATGTTAGATTTTAGTTTTGCAAGTGTGCTGTTTTTTTAAATGTATAAAATATAGGAAAAGGTAAAATAGTTAAGAGGGAAAGGCAATTGTGTTATTCTTCTATAGTTAAAAAAAACATTTGTTGAGTGCCTACTAGATGCATGGTCTGAAATGTGTATGTGAGGAGCTTATCTAACTAGATAGGGTGTAATAGATGCTCCGTGTGAACCTGTTGAATGAAAGTTTACTGTATAAAGAAAGAAAAGTACAGCAGTCATAGCATTGGAGCTGAATTAACCTCAGCGTTGGTCCTCAAGGTTCCATTTCTGGAATACCAGACAGAGCATTTAATAAAAACCCATAAAGACTAAGCCTTATGAACCACTGAAATGTATAAGCCTCCACAAATTTAGCTAAATTGGGGCTAATCTTTCTTTAACTATCTGCCTAATTCTAGCTTTTCTTCCCATCTGGCTTCTGGGTTGACAATTTCTGGGAAACAACCCTACTGCTGCTGTGTTTTTCTAAAAATCAGAAATCTTGCCCTTGAAACTATGTTAAATTCAAATTGAGTATTTCTCTTTCAGGAAAGAATTATATTTTTCAAAATATGGCTTTTTGTTTGATGGGTCCCCGAAAACACTAATAAAACCCACAGAGACCATCCTGTAGCTGTGTGTTTCGTGCTTCAATAAGCCACCCACAATGGGGATTAGAGGAAATGGAACAAAATATATGCAGTTCCCACATTTATTTATTCAATAAGCATTTATTTTAGTATCTACTCTGTGCCAGGCACTGTCCTAGGAACTGACTTAGATATAGAGAATGAAAGAGACATAAACCTCTGCTCTCATCAAGTGTGTTCTATTGGGTAGATACAGACAAGAAACAAAACACTAACCAACAAATAAACAAAACAGCATATCAGATGTATAATCAAGAAATAAAGAGCAAGGAAGTATGTAGGGATGTATTGCAAGGTTAGGCAGGGTTAAATAGGAAATATTCCAGTAAAGATTTGTAAGGGAAAGAGCCAGGCAGGTAACTGCAGGGGTGATACCTCATGGGAGGGACCAGCAAGTGCAAAGGTCCTGAGGTGAGTGTGTTCCTCACATGTCTAAGAAACAGCAAGGATGCCTGTTTTCCAAAGTACACTAAACAATAGTAAGAAATAATATAAGAGAGGTACCAGCTGGCCAGATCACATGAACTTGGAGGCTATTAATGAGGACTCCACTTTTTCGTTTGAGTGAGATGGGGGCCCACAGAAGAGTGACATACTCCAACTTCTGGTTTAAAAGGACCCTTCTGGTTGTTGTATTGAGAATGAATTGCAAGAAGGCTTTCAATGCTGAGTGTACATTCTTCGTCAGGGAAGAGAAAAAGGAAATAGAAAAGATCACTGTCACATCCAAGTTCCGATACAATACTTAAAAATATTTCAAGGTAGTAATTGAGCTCTACCAGTTCACAACATAGTATTTCTCTGGGGCTCAGAAAGTCTCCATCAGTCAATCACTTAACTTCATAAATAATAATGAAAATAATAATAGCTAACAACCTTGGGGAAATCCCCTTCGTCCCAGGAACTGTAATATGTTCTTTACATACATTTTGATCCTCATGGAAACCTGTGACATATATATATATATATATATATATATATATATATATATATATATATATATTATCCCCAATTTTCAAATGAGAGGGAATGAAGGTCAGAAAGGTTAAATAACTTTCTTAAGTTTACACATCTAGTAATACGTGGGAATTCCAAAGTCCATACACTTAGCTCTAATATTTCTCTAGTTAGTCAGGATACTAATATTACACACACACACACACACACACACACACACACACACACACTCACAGTTTCATTATTAATACTGAATTAAACAATGTAATTCAGAGTTATTTACTGTTACGATTTCTCAAAGCCTTTATTGTGATGATCTGGATTGTGAATCTATGAGAGGGAAAAAGTGTTCCTAGTTTCCCAAGCCTATTTGACAATGGACCCTTTTCATCAAAGATTTTATGAAACCAGTCCCTTTTAAAACACGCTTAGGGGAATGATAATGTTTAGTGATTAATTCTCTGACTTAGCAGAAGCAGTATTTTCATGTCTGGGCCAAATTAGTATGCTGATAATATTTATGCACGTCAAACTTGGCCAGCTTTGTATATATTTCTTTCTTTCTTTCTTATTGAGAAGAAATTCCCTCACTTCCCTGGGCATTATTTATTTTCATTGATGCATTTCTCAGTTATCACATAGCACTTACAAAGTGACTCTTCTTGGGAATTATAAACTCTACTGAATTTTAACTCTTTAGAACTATCTGTCCAAAACTACAGGCACTAGCCACATTTGGCTGTTTAAGCTTAAATTGGATAAAATTATATCAATAAAAAATGGAGCTTCTTAATTGCACTACCCCCATTCCAAGTGCTGAACAGCCGCATGTGACGAGTGGTTACTGTATTGGACAGTGCAGATATAGAACACTCCCATGATCAAAGAAAACTCTACTGGACAGTGCTACTCTAGAACTTGACCTGGGAGGATAGGATAAGGGGAGTAGGCAAAACTAATCAACAGTTAAATAAGTTCCAGTTTGCCTTGGAAACCAAAGGTGATCCTGAATTGTAGAGAACAAAAAAAATGAAAGTCCAAAGCAAATATCTCTGTTTGCTGGAATGGTGACAGTATCTGCGAGTGCAAACAAGTTTGGTGTTGTCAGTGGAGCCTTGGAGTGGGAGGACTTGATTATTCTTATCCCAAACCCACAAATACCCTACAGTCATTAAAATGAATGTTCCAAGGCTGTGAGATCACTGAAATGAGAATGGAAATGAAAGATCCCCAAAGAGGAATGGCTGGCGCTGCCCACTGTCTGCTATAAATGACACTAATACCACTTTCTCCCTCCTTTATAAGACTACCTTCTTGAATAAGTCATCTCCCTCATAGGCTGTTTCCATGTAAGTCCCTTCTCTTTCCATTAACTATCACAATCTGGCCTCTATTCACATCAAGTCACTGAAAATGCCCCCTTGAAGTTCATATGAAGACATCTTGGCCTCGGGGACTTTGCTTCGCTATTCCCTGTGCCTAAAATGCACTTTCGATCTTCATGTGGCTGGGCTCCTTTTAATCAAGAAGGTCTCAGTTCAAAAAGTTACCCTTGCTATTCACAGTGGCTTCAGCTGCTCACCTACCCCCCCATCACTTCCTATTATGTCATCCTCATTTTATCTTCTCAGAACTTACACTATCTGAAATGATATTTTTAATTTATTAGTTTACTTGTTTAGTATTTTTTTTTTCTGCCAGAAAGTAAGCTCCAGGAGAGCAGCGACCTTGCCTGCCATGTTCACCACATATTCCTGGAGCTCAGATGTATATAACATACGTACCTGACTCCGTGAATATCTGTTGAATAAGTGAGGGACCCTTCTCATTTTCAAGTTCCAAGGCCTTTCTTTTGACTCCATAATTTTTGACCTCCCTCTCTACTTTTGGAAAAGATCTTCCCTCGTTTTCTGCCATGGTTTTCTCCTGCTTTCCTGAATACTCGTTCTTCAGTTCTTATTCTTCTCATCCTTCTAATGGTATATGTTTCCCAAGATTAAATCCTCAGCCCTCTACTCTTCTTTTTTATTCTCTCCCTCAAAGTGTAGCGTCTTGAAAGTTCAGTTCAGAGACTTCGCAAGGATTTGGGGGAGGTACAGGCTGTTTTCTTTCTGGTCCTGGCTTTAATTCTATAATAACTGGCTGGAGACCGTGGACACATAAGCTAACTTCTCCACTCCTCAGTTTCTTCATCTCTTAAATGAGGACACATACCTACCTCCCAGTGGTGTGGTGGAAATGAGTGGACAGATTCTAATATTTGATCATTCTATAATTATGGACAGTTTATACATGAAGGCACTGTGCTAAGCACTTTGCTTTTTCTTTTCTTTTAATGCTCACTCCATGAGAGAGTTTCTGCTGTTATCTCCATTTTACAGATGAGGAAACTGAGGCTCATGGAGGTAGAGAATCTTGCCTGAGCTCACCCTGCTGGTATGTGGCAGAGCTGAGATTTGAACCTCTGCCTTGCTGAGTCCAGACTTGGGGTCTTAATAATGATGTTCTATTGTCTCTCTTGAAAAGTGTTATGAAAAAATTAAGAGCTGAGCAAAGTAAAGAAATTATTACTAAATTTGTGGCAACTCAAAGAGAAGTATCTAGAGTGTTTAGTCTGGGAACACAATGATATTTAGCCAACAAAGGTGTCTTCAAGCCATTTTATCCTGTCTTAAAGTCATACTAGATCATCTCTAGCAGGGACTAAAGAGGATTTGATGTCTGGTCTGCCTTAAAATCATAGCCCTAGAGATGCTTAGAGCTGGAAGACTATTTGGTATAAACCCCCATCAGAAGAGCACAGAGAGCTTCATGCAACTCAACACCAAAAAAACAAACAACTCAATGAAAAAATGGGCAGAGGATACAAAGAGACATTTCTCCAAAGAGGACATACAGATGGCCAACAGGCATATGAAAAAATGTTCAACCTCACTTAGTATTAGGGAAATGCAAATAAAAACCACAATGAGATACCACTTCACCCCGGTCAGAATGGCTATCATCAATAAATCAACAAACAACAAATGCTGGTGAGGTTGTGGAGAAAAGGGAACCCTGGTGCACTGCTGGTGGGACTGCAGACTGGTGCAGCCATTATGGAAATCAGTATGGAGGTATCTCAAAAATCTGGAAATGGAATTACCTTATGACCCAGCAATCCCACTCTTAGGTATTTATCCAAAAAAACCCAAGACATTAATCCGAAAAAATATATGTACCCCTATGTTCATTGTGGCGCTATTCACAATAGCTAAGACTTGGAAACAACCAAAATGCCCATCGGTAGATGACTGGATTAAGAAACTATTATTACTATTAATACTCCATTGTGTAAATGGAGTATTACTCAGCTATAAAGAAGAAGCAAATAGTACCATTTGCAACAATATGGATGGAACTAGAGAACATTATGCTAAGTGAAATAAGT